GATGGCGCCCTGAAGTGCAAGTCATGCGGGTGATGCCCGCGCGGGGGTTTTCTGGGACGTGCATTTGCCGACGCCGTCACGCGGGGCGAAGGCGAGCACTCATCGGGGGGAGGAGGGCGAAGACCAGCAAGAGGAGGCAGAGAAAAAAAGGAGACAGTGCCTGGGCTGAGGGCCAACTCCTCCTGGATGCATGTGAGGGTTAATTGGGATGCCTCTCAGGGGCCTCTTGTAGACCTCTTGGGGGGCATCTGGGTCCTTTCGTTGGGCCCTCGTGGAGCCTTGTGGGCCTTTTCGGGGGCTCTTGGGGGCCACGCGGGGCTTATCGGGGACGCTTCGCAACCTCTGGGGCACATTTGGGGCCGTCTCGGGGTGAAAGCTCGACATGCCAGTTCGTGCTCCCCCTGAGGATCTCTGGGTCTGTTTTGAGGGCCCCTGGGGCCGTCTTCGGACCCTCTGGAGACGTCACGGAACCCTCTAGGGAGCCTCATAGGGTGTCTTGGCACGGTATTTGAAGCCCCCTTAGGTTGTCTTGGACGCTGTTAAGACAGACGAACGAAACGAGTATGCTCAACACGTGCGATTCCCCGAAGGAATGCGCGGATTTCGCCTCTTGGTGCCTCCTCGGCGGTCCTCTGGGAGCACTCTTGAGCCGCCTTCGGGGCCACACGGGCCGTCGGAAGACCATCTTTGTCGACCGTCGTGGGGTTACCTTGGGCCGTGTCGACGCTCTCTTGGGTTGTCTTGGTGGTCTGTTTGGATTCTCTTGGGCCGTCCTGGAGCCAGCCCGGAGGATGGGCTTTCCCGTGGGACTATCTTCGGGCCGTTTTGGCTCTCTTGGAGATTTAAGGAGCCGTCTTGGAGCTTCAAAGGAGCCCCGGCTGAGCTGGACCTCCCCGGGTGAGCCCAGTCCTCCAGAGGGTTGGCCTGTGCCGGCGGCCCTTTGCACGGGGAGCCCGTGCACATGGGCGCGAACCCCCGGTGAACCCGCCCTACCCCTCCAGCTGGCCCGATCTGGAAGCCGATTGCATCGGGCGCACATGTAAATGAGCGCGGAACCCTTGTGAGTTTGCCCCAGGGGGGGGGGCCAGTTTCGGCAGCCGTTTGCATGAGGTGCCCATGCAAATGGGCGCGCGCCGTTGGGGTCCCTGGTTGGGGGGGGTGACCCGCTCGGCTGGCAATTTCCATGGAGCGTCTGTGCAAATCGGTGCCAACATGCGCCGGCCATGCTCACTACGGGTTTGCCCGTTCCGTCGGCCATTCTGCGGGGCGCCCATGCAAATGTTTCTTGGCCCAGGAGGTGGAAGCGAATTTAAAGTTTGGGCCTCCAGGGGGGATTACGCGGGGGGGGCTTATGCCCCACACCTGGAGACCCACAAGGGGGCGGCGGATTCCCAGTAGAAGGGTTACAGTTAAAATCTTGTTGTGGGATTTTACATTGCGTTTCTTCTTCATTGAGGATTTACACCTTGATGTCTTTCTGAGGATTATAGGGAATCTGTTCTGCGGCAGCACAGTACTAGGATTTCTATCGGCGAATCGGTTTCTATCGTGCGCGTTACACCTAAAATCCTTCCCACGCGGAATTATCGTAGGATTCCCGTTGTTTGCACATCGACTCCCGTTCCATTGGGAAGAATGTCTAACTTATCTGTTGCAGTGATGCAAAGTGACTCATTTTGCAAATCGTTCCAAACTCAGAATGTCGCATTGAAGGCTGACACCAAAATTAGCCTGACGACGGACCCAACCAATGCAACTGCGAGTGCCGCATTGTGGGTACCGCTTTCGATGGAGCTCCCTATGGGGCCACTAAGCGTGCGAGGGGTGCGCCGAAATCGGTGGCGCGGACGCATTCGGACCTGCCACTGGAGCCTTCGGTGGAGCTCCCTATGGGCCCACGAAACGCTGTCCTGGGTGGCGGAGGCGCATGCGGACCCTCCCAATGGGGCCTTCGGCGGAACTCCTTATGGGGCCACGAAACGCTGTCCTGGGTGGCGGTGACGCATGCGAACGCAGCCACTGGAGCCTTCGGTGGAGGTCCCTATGGGGCCACGAAACGCTGTCCTGGGTGGCGGTAACGCATGCGGACACTGCCACTGGAGCCTTCGGTGGAGCTCCCTATGGGCCCACGAAACGCTGTCCTGGGTGGAGGTGACGCATGCGGATCCACTGGAGCCTTCGGTGGAGCGCCCTATGGGGCCACGAAACGCTGTCCTGGGTGTCGGTGGCGCATGCGATCGCTGCCACTGGAGCCTTCGGTGGAGCTCCCTATGGGGCCACGAACCGTGTGAGGGGTGTGCCGTAATGGGTGGCGGTGACGCATGCGGACGCAGCCACTGGGGCCTTCGTTGGAGCTCCCTATGGGGCCACGAACCGTGTGAGGGGTATGCCGTAATGGGTGGCGGTGGCGCATGAGGACGCAAACATTGGGGCGTTCGGTGGAGCTCCCTATGGGGCCACGAACCGTGTGAAGGGTGTGCCGAATTGGGTGGCGGTGACGCATGAGGACGCAGCCACTGGGGCATTCGGTGCAGTTCCCTATGGGGCCACGAACCGTGTGAGGGGTGTGCCGAACTGATGATGATGGTGATGATGATGACGATGATGATGGTGACGGTGATGCTGATGATGGGGAAAGGGAGGGGGGGGCAGCGGGAGGGGGTGGAGGAGGAGTAGGAGGGACGCGCTGCGCTGTCTCTTCAAAACGAAGACCCAACAACACAGGCTGGTTGGGAAAAACACGCACCACGCAACACACCGCCAATCAACAAGCCAGATCATGATAACAAGTGATCGTTTTCTGATGCATTGGTTTGCCCATCAGCGCGGGTCCTCGCTCCCCCGCCGGAGTAGATAGGTGCTGCTTTGTGCGCCTGTCTCAAGCAGGTGGAGCCTCCCCGACAGGACGCATTGTTGCAAACAGTCGCGTTCAGCAGAGGTCCAGAGCCAGACCCCCCCTCCCCCCCCCCTTCCGCCCAATGTCGAAACGCCGAGAAAGAGAACGTTCACCAAAATTCCAGAGGCTCAATCCGTAGCCATTTTGGCTCAAGTCATTTTGGCTAAAGCCAAGGGGCTTAAGCATCCTTGGCTTAAGCCGTGTTAGTTTTCGGATTAGGCCCCCTCATTTGAACGGTCAGCGGACGAGGGATATGACGGACGTGGGCGCGCCAGAGCTCGAAAGGACGGCTCTCACGCACGATGGCGGGAATGTGCGTTTCAGGTGGAGCATCGTGGGCGCAACGCTGGGGGTGGTTGTGGCATGTGTGATGGCAGGCGCCGCTGTCGGCGCGCATGCGATCTTTTCACCGCGGGCGTGGCAGGGAATGAGATCCCCGTCGGGCCCACAGGGCCCAATGTCAGAAGGGTCGTCGGAACCCCTCAGAGAGCGCCACCCAAACCTGGTGCCCGCGAGAGCACCGCCACGTCGAGGATCGCACCGAAGGGTCGGGAGAGCGCAATCGAGATGGCCATGGAATCGCAAACTGTATGCAAAGCACCGAGGAAGTCATGCAGCAACCAATGCCGCTGCGCAAACGTTCTTGCAATCCCCCCTGCCCCCGAAAGTCGCAAACATCTCAGTGGAACGACCGCTTGTGTTTATCCATCAGAGGAAGGCAGGCGGCATATCTCTGAGATCCATTCTGTTCAGTCAAGCGAAACGCTTGCACTTACCGTTCAACATCAAGTGCTTTAGTGAACCCTGTGAATCTTACAGTTATGGGACCTCTAAGGTAGCCGTGTATGGCGGGCATGTGGATTGGTTCGAGTTGTCTCGCACTTTTGCCAGGCAAGGCCAGTTCACTTCGAAAGATGTTTGGAAGGACGGTGTGCAACAGTTTTCGTGTATCACGAATTTCAGGGATCCTTTGTCGCGCATTCAGTCTTGTTATTACTATCGGTTCAAGAAATTCGGTGCCCCAGATTGCCTTGCCGCTGTGAAGCCCGAAGATATGAAACAGTTATTTCGTCAGGGCCGTTCGGAGTATGGGCTGGGCTGTCTGAACGAGCCGTTTCGCATGTTGAGCGGCTTGGTCGATGAGGCTTTGTTTAATGATGACACCGATGACCAAGAGTGGGATTACGTCTTCAATTCAACATTGGCGAACCTTGCCCACTGCGTCCCAATCATACTTGAGAACTATTCTACGCTGGATGTTGCTGTCTCATGGTTCCCACAACTCAAACACATCGCAGACCTTCGCACAGTTCGCAAAAATCGCGGCGGAGAAAAGTGTGAGCTCTCTCAGCGCCACCTGGACGTGCTGGAAGACCTGACGAGGCACGAGCGCAACCTCTACGACCTGGCCGTGCAGAGGGCCGACAAGTTCTTCTCGAGCATGCCTCCACCACGAGGATGAGGCGGAGGGGGTGGAGGGGGAGGGGGGAGGGGGAAGGGGCGGAGGAGGTGGCCCGAGAAGCCCGCGCGGACGCTAGCGCAGGGGGATGCGGCGGTGCAGCGGCACCGTCGACCTCGCCGCTTCCCAGGCCCTTTGCGTCCTTGGGAGCAGGCGTCACAGCGCAAGCCGTGCCTGCAAAGAAAAAATACCCTGGCGACGTACCCAACCCTGCGCAAAAGCGGTGCGCAAATAGTTTAGGATACTTTATAAGGGGGCGATGACGGAGCGAGGGTTACATATGTCTGCAGACGGAATTCGGGAGACTCGCAGGACACTGGCTACAGGAAAAGGGCTTGTCTGAAAGCGTATGGTAGATGCTGATGATAAACCAGTTTATCTCATCCACGGCCCCGCGCGGGCCACGAGCTATCTGCGGGGGCGCAAGGCGCCCAGTACAACAAGCTCTAAAGGCCGGCCGTGCGGGCCGAGACGGGCAGCGGGCAGCGAGCAGCGGGCGAGAGGGCAGAGGCAGGTGCACTCAGAGGGGGAAGTAGACGAGGTACTGGTAAGAGAGGGTCAGGGCTAGGCGGGCTCCAGAGGGGTCCTCGGGTACACCTCCAGGGAATCTCCGACTCATTATTTTCTTTTGTAGCTCTGACTATCTCAGTCATCCTGCAAGTCTTCTTCTCGAACTCCTGCGGCCGAACGTTCACGTCGTAGTCGATCAGCTTCAGCTCGATCGGGTTTAGCAACTGACTTCCGTGCGGCCCTCTGTGATCTCTTCTTCTCCTTTATCTTCACTGCAGCCTGATCCTGCTGGATCGTGATCTGATTCGTCCTCAAGTAATGTCGGAAATAGTCCAGATCAACTCCCTCTTTCGTAAGAATATCCGCCAGATTCTGTAGTCCATCCACCCAACGTAGTGTCGTGTTTGGTTGCCTCAAAGCCTCCTTCAATAACGCTCCTTCTATTGCCATCCGCTTGTCTCGGCTAAGGCCTGATCCTTCTTTCGTCAAATAATCATGCACCGACTTGGCATCAGTCAAGAAAACTCTGCTTCTTCTCGCAACGATCTTCTGCCAATCCTTCAAATCGATCTTCGGATTGAACACCTCCTCAAGTAAAACACACAGCCATTCACCAGCCTCCAGTGAATCTGCAAGATGTGAGGCTTCAGCTGCAAGTGTGCTCCGGCAAACTCTCTGTGTCGACTTAGAACAGTAATCCATCATAGTTGCGGTCACCAGCTTCCCCGACAACACGTCGTGGTCCACTATGAAGAGAAAATGACCACCGATGCTCTTGTATCTCGCGATCTCGTCACTCTCGGGGTTGCCGTTCGCGTGTCCTGAATCACATTCTATCAAGACCGTAGCTCGACTGAGGTCGATACCCTTCGGAAACTTCTGCATGTAGTCGGCGCCCCTCTTGCCGTCGTTGATGGCCCTGTTGACCTTCACCAGGTCGGCGATGCACGGCGCTACCATGGCTCGTTGAGCTTGTCCCGCTTGAAAGGCTAAATCTGCTCGAAGCTGCCTCGACAACCAAGATATCTCTCCCGTAGCCTTCCGTAGCCGTGTCACTTCGTCGTCGGTCAGCGGGCTCGTCAGCTCCTTCTTCCGTTCTCGAGGGATCGGAACCGTCTTCATGTTCAGCGAGCAGCCCTTCATCGTTACTCCAACATCGCCGTTAGGTAAACGCTGTATCTCACGTCCTCTGAAAACGAAATCCTCTTTGAGCCATTTCGAGAAATTCAGCTTCTGTCTCGTGCATCTGAAGGCCGTATCTTCGTATCTCTTTTGAACTCCAGCCAGCAAATCATCCACGTGAGTGCATAGAATACCCACCAAAGCGCCTGCTTTGTCGCGTAGGTAAAACAAAACCGGTTCCAAAACAGACTGACCCATCCGTCCTTCTCCAACACTTCGCAGAAAGCCAACCAAAATAAACGAGCAGCCTCAGCAAATCCATCGATTGCCTTCTTGGCCCTCAATAGTTGTCTCGGATGTAGTCCCTTTAGACCTCCACGCGGCTGGCTGATGTAGATTTCGCGTCCTATACCCCGACCTGAAAAGTAGGCATTCTTTATGTATCCGCAGCTCATAATCATGCCCATGCTGGCGATCACGAGCAACACCATTGCCTCCGCCAAATTCGACGCTGTCGGCGCATCTCCTCGGTACTCGCCGAGGCTCTTGTCCTTGAAGCCCTGGGCCATCATCCTCGACTTCGCCTCGAACTCGGCGTCCAAAACGCCTTCACTCTCGTTGGTTCTCACCCACTTGGCCGGTATGATCAGGTCGCGCTTGGTCTCCCAGATCTGCTCACTCTCGCCGAGGCTCAGCGTATCGCAGGCACCCAGATCTTGCCAGGCCTTCCACTCCTTTTCATCCGAACCTCCAGGTCCGATGAATAACTGACGCTTTGCCTCGTCGAGCTCCTTCAAGTGTAACTCCTTTCTCCCCTTCTTCGCCACTGTCGAGCCAGCCTCATAAGAGTCCTCGAACTCATTACGCTCAACGCCGAAGGCGGAAACCTCCTTGCTGACCTCGTGCTCGGCGTAGAAGGACTGGTTGACGTCATATGTTGAGTGGGCCTCGTTGATCATAGAGTCCTCATCCTCGTAGACCTGAAAGGCGTCGTCCATCTTGATCGACTCTGGGACGTCATCCAGCAACTTCTGTCTCTTCGCCCCCCGCTCTGCAGCTTCCTCCGCTGGCCGACCCTCCTTGTACCTGCTAGCAGCTCCTTCCGCCGGGCGAGGCGGGAACGATGCCGCCGGAGTGTGGACATCGTCAAGATCAGGGCCCCGCTCGTCGCCCATCGGCACTTGATCGGATCGGACAGCCTCGTTGACAAAATCCTTCACCGCGTCCTCCATCGGGTCCTCCGCTTGTGTCGCTCCTCGTGGCTCGATTGGCGGCGGCGGTCCCTGCTGCATCATCGGGGGCTCCTCCTGGTAGGGTTCCTCCGTCACCTCCTCCGCGGGCGGCTCCTCCTCTTGGACCAGTGGCTCGGCAGGTGCTTCACGCTCTGCCGGCTGCGGCACCTCTGGTGGCGGTGCCTCTGGCGGTGGCTGAGCCGCCGCTAGTTCTGGTTGAACTGGCCCTCCATCTCGAAACTCTGGAGGAAGAGGCCGTCGTCGTAGATCGATAAATCCACTGCCTCCAGCCGTCCCGGTGGTGTCTATCAAGTCCGCCTCCTGCGCCGTCACCAGCCATGCTCGGACCTCCTCGTCGGAAGCCTTGGCAAGGTGCTCGGGAGCGCAGGCGATCGTGATCCCGCGGTGCACGATCCAGATCGTGTGCTTACCCTCGTGACCTATCACGCGTGCGACTCCTCTCCAGTTGATAACGCTCTCGGGCCGTTTGCCCTGCTCCTTCTGGTCGTAGTAGAAAACCCAGTCGCCCACGTTGAAAGGTCCACGTTCTGGTCGAACTTGTCGAAGCTCGGCCCTCTTGATCGCGTCCTCGTTGGCGATCTTCGCGTGGGCCTCCCGCGCCGCCTGCCGCAGCGCGCACTTCCTGGCAAACTTCGATGTCGGGGTAGCCGATGCCGCAATGGCACCGATCCTCTCAACCTCGCCGTCGTCCATGAGGTCTGCCGGGAGGCGAATATCTCTTCCCAGCACCCACTGCGCCGGTGAGAAGCCAGACCTCCTGCTCAGCGAGTTCTTCGCCTGGTTAATCTCCATCACGGCCTTCAGGACGTCCTCGCGCCCAGCGACCTGCTTTGCCCAGACGACTCTCCTCTACATGGCTTGCCAGAGGTCTCCGTGACGCTCGACCTCGGCGATATGCCACGCTGCCGCCGCCTTGGCGGCTGAAGCAAATCTGCACCCACGACTCGACATGTGCTCCGAAAAACTGCCCAGGAAGCCCTTGGCCCTGTCGACGATGACTCCAACCTCAGGCTCACCAGCCCAAGATGCCCAGCACAACTCGTAGGTCTCCAGCACCGTGACTGAGCCCGTCATCTTGTGAACTTCGCCAAGTAAAGCAACCACCTGAAACGAACATCACAAGCAGACAAAATTCAGAAACTGCCACTCTGCTTGGTCTGCGTCCTTCTCGGCAAAGGTGTCGAAGCCCACGACAACGTTGAACTCGTCGACGCTCGGCAACTGCTTCGCCAGCAGCGGTCGCCTCGTGCGTTCGCAGTGCTCGCAGGAGAAAAGCCTGCACGCCTTGATCGCGGCCTCCGAGGTTCTCGAAATCCTCAAAGCCCTTAGCATCTCGATCTTCGGCGCGTGACCCAGGTTCTCGTGCAAGCGTCGGATCGCAACCTTAAGATCGCGTGGTAGCTGATCCCATCGCTGCTTTCTCATAGTCTCCTTATCTTGCTCGTCGTCCTCTGCCTCGCCGATCTGCGCGCCGTGCACCATGATGAGTAGGTCGGCCCCGGCGATCTTCATCACCCGCTGCTGTGGTGACAGGTTGGTCCAATCCTCCCAGCCGAGCTCGGACCACACGCCACGCTCAGACCGAGCGTAGGCAGTCCGCATAGGTGCCTGAGAAGCGTGCAAATGAGGCACCACTGCGAGCAGAGAACGTGGATTCCGCCGTATCATAATCAGCTTCACGCTGGCGGACGCCTCCTCGAGCTTGGCAATCTCGGCGGCCCTCTCGTCCACCGAAGGCCACAGCAAGGTGAGGGGCGTGAGGAAGCCGACGAAACTACTGAAAATCTCCATCACCTTGTCGACTTTCTCCTTGGCCATGCTGAGCCAGCCGCCCTTGAGTGTAACTCTCCGCTTGAGTCCACCTGTCCCTCCGAGTAGCTTCGCTCCTCGTCGAGCCTTCTTGGAGGGCGGCTCGGTGACCACCTCGTCGCCCACAGGGAAGCTCGACTCCACGTGTCCGTTGGCGAGTGCGGCGGCGCTGTCGATCTCCATCTGCTGCTTCACTCCTTCGCAGATCGCCGTCGCCATCCTCGGAGGGTAGGCCGCTGCCTGAGCTGCTCTCTTCCCGGCGGAGTTGTTGCCCTCCGCCATCTCGCGAGCAGTCTTGCACTTGCAGGGGATAGCCAGCTTGTTGAGAACGCACTGGCTGTTCGCGAGGTAGCCGGTCAGCTTCTGGATGGGCTTGCCGCTGTCGATGTCCTTCTTGCCGAAACCGCACTGAGCTCCACAAGCAAACCAGACATTCGGTAGCGCGTAGATCTCAGCCAAGATGTTCTTGTACTTCCAGGAAGCTGCTGACCACGGCTGTTCTGCTAGAAAATATCGATGCCTTTTATAACGGTGTAAGCAAATGCGCTTCACCAACATGAGCACTCGAACTCCGTGAGCACCTCGCAGGGTCTCCCAATCCACCGTCGGGCACATGTTCGTCATAACTGACCATATGCGGCAATCGAAGGCAGTGATCGTGAGGTGCGGGTCGTGCTCGTCGAGGATCTCGAAGAGCAAGTCCTCGCCTTCCTTGGTCATCAGGTCGCAGTCGTCCATCTTATCCAGCGGCTGCGAATTCGTCCAACCAAAAACTCCTGATGCCACTCGTGTAACGATAAAGCTGCCGCCCCAAGGCTCGAGGATCATCGTCTTTTTGAACCCTGATGTGGCCATTCTTTCTGCGAGCGTATACTCCTTCTGAAGCGTCGCCCAAGTCCGCTTCTCCTAAGCTGCTATCCTCGAAGCTGTTGTTGACAACTCCTGTGCTCTTCGATTGGTGAGCTCGCCTCTCGTATCTGACTTGCGCACACCCCTCGCTGCCAAGGGGATCTCCGACTTCTGGCCAGTTTCATCATTCGAGCTCGCGCCTTGGCGACGAATTGCATCTATCTTGACAGTGTCGTAAGACTCCTCATCGTCGCAATCGTCGTTCTCCAAATAGGCGTAGCCACCCTTGACCACGTCCATGCACGTCGCAAGGTGCACGATCGCGTCGCCCCGGGATGACTTGAGCTCCATACGTTGTAGTACCGCATCTTGGTCGTCTCCGAACTGCGATACATCGATACCTAGGTGTGTCGTATTCTTCATCTTGATCAGAGGTACTGTGATTCCCAATGCCGAAAGCTCCAGATTCTTCGCCTTCGTGTGAACGTGGCCGTCTAACATGTCCAGGGCAGGTATGGAGATCATCAGTGGAGTCGTCCCGGTCGGGATCTCGGTCGAGTGCGCCTCTCCTCTGAATCCTCCAATGCCGATCGGGATCACGTAGACGTCGCCCTTCTGCTTGGAGCCGTTCGCGAAGGTGAACTTCCGCTGGGAGTCCGTCTTCCTGCAGGTAAGGCCGGGAGGCAAGTGCTTCTCGAAACTTTCTCTCCAGTTCTTGCTATGCGTGCAAAGGGTACAGGCGGTGTCCACGAGGGCCACCACGTCGTAGTTAATTGTGTTGCAGTCAGTGCGCCCCGCGGCGAAGGCGAACTGTGAGTGTCCCAGCCTGCTGCCGCTAACCTGGCCCCCGGCGTTGAACAGGGCGAGGCTCTGCGGGTCGAGCTGCGCGGCGGCGAGCCCGTCGGGCGATGCCAGAATGGCTGCCCACGTCCTTGACCTAAGAGGCTCCTCAAGACGGCTTATGCGTCTTTGACTGAGGGACGTCGAGCCCCCTCCACGGTCTTGCCCTTGCTCAGCGTCGAAACGAACGGCCCGGAGGGCCGCCATCGCGCAGCATCTGCTGACCGGTCGTCCAGTTGATCGTGCCCTTGCACCTCATGATGGTGTTGAAGTTCAGGCACCCGTATAACTTGTTGCCGTCCAGGTTGTTGCCCTTTACCTGCGCGCCCTGGCGGCGGCCCCTCGGACAGGTCAGCTGCTCGATGAACGTGTTGTTCTCGTTCACAAACTCCCAGGATTTAGACGCTCTTGATGATGTAGCTGCTGCCATTGGCCTTGCGCCCAGTGACTTGGCGCCAATCTCCTTCTGTTGCTTCGAGATGTTCGGCTTGGTCAGCGGGACCTCTGCGGTCTTCTCCAGCTCCTGGCGCTGCTTCGCCCGCTGGTAGGCCTGCATCTCGGCGTAGAGCGGGCAGAGCTTGTCTCCTCCGTGGTGCCCGTGCTTGCCGCAGTCCGCGCACTTGATGTTCTCGCCCGGTGCTCTCGTCGAAGTCCCGTCCGAGAACGCCGCTGCGGTCCTTGACACACTGCGCCCCTTCTTGACCTGCGCCTTGCCCGAGTAGCGCCCCTCGAGCCTCTCGATCAGGATCTCCTTCTTGCCGTTGGTCTGGAGCCCGAGCTCGCTGAGGTGACTCTTGAGCTCGTACTGCTTCCAGGCCCTGAAATCTGGCGTGGTCAGGATGTCCTTTGGTGCTGCCGACGGCCTCGGGGCCGCCTCTCCACTGCTTGCCGCTCCTGCCGACTTCTTCCTATCCTGGTCGTAGTCCCTGTTGTGGTAGCTGTCGCCCTCGCGCTCGTCGTCTGGCTCCTCCGCCGAGTCCGTGTGGAACGAGTCCTGCTCCTCGACCGCCCCGTCGCGGTCGTCCGAGAGGTCGCCGCCGCGCACCATGTAGGAGGTCGCCTCTTCCATCAGCTCGTCCTCGTCGGCGGTGCCGTCGAGCGTGAAGTGCGACTTGCCTCCGCGCCCAGGCTTCGCGTTGGGCTGGCCGCCGCCGCGGCCTCCGCCTCGTCCTCCACCGCACTTCTTGTCGCCTTGCTTCCCTGTCTTCGGGCACGCAGCGTCTCCTGCCCAATGCCCGATGCGACCGCACGCTCCGCAGCGCGTGCGCTTCTTCTCCTCCTTGATCTGCTCCTGACGCTCCTCGAAGGTCACCTCGCCTTTGAAGAACCCGCACTGCTTCTGCGTGTCCTTTAGCTTCTTCCTCGCCGCGTCGTAAGCGCTGTAGGCCTCGAACACGTCGTCGTCGTCGTTACTGGCTCCGGCGTCGCTCGCGGCCTCTTGGTCGTCGTCCGCCGCGTTGGCGCCCTCTTCGAATTCCTCATCCGAGATGTCGTCCTCGTCGCCGCTACTGTTGTCCTCGACCTGGTTCGCCTTTCCGCCGCGCCGGTTCTGCCACTTGTGCTTGTGGGTGCTGGTCGGCGCGTTCCGTCTCTCCTTCTCGTGCAGGTCGTGGAAGTTGACTCTCAACGTGTGCTGGAACATCTCCAGGTTGTACTCCGAGTTGCTGTTGAGAACGATGTTGCGCTTCTGCTCGTCCGTGAGGTTTGCGCCGTCCAGCAGGAAGTACGCCATCAAATCGTCCGAAAGCGTGGCGTTCTCGTCGCGCTCCTGCAAGTCCTCCCACAGCTTCTCCTTATTCGAGAGGTACTCGCCCATGTCGGTGCCTCGCTTCCGAAAACTCCGCTTGAAGAAACTGTCGAACGCCATGCCCTTCTTGACTATGGCCTCTTTGTCCAGCGTCGCAAGCGCCTCGAAGATCCGCTTCTCGCCGCCATCCGCTCGTACATCCGCGGTCTCCTGTGCGAGGTGTTCCGCGCGTCGCCACGCCCGACCGTGTAGTCCGTCGAGCAGCTTCACCCTGAATCTGCGCTTCTTCTTCTCGAGGTTGGTCGCGATCGCTTCTTCGTCATCTCCGCTGCCTTCCAATCGCGCCAGCGCCAGCATGACTCTCTTCTTGTACTCCTTGAGCAGATAGGGGTTTTGGCCGGTGTAGTGAGGCAGCCCATCTCTGTCCACAACTATCTCATCATCACGGTAGTAAGACCGTCCAGCTCCTTGATCATTCATCTTGCTGCTCTCGCTGTTCTTGGGCTCTGTGTCGGTCCTGGTGAGCGTTCGGCCACGCCCACAATCTCGGAACCACCAGCTCCGCAATACCAGTCTGAAAGCGTATGGTAGATGTCAATGATAAACTTGTTTATCGCATCCACGGCCCCGCGCGGGCCACAAGCTATCTGCGGGGGCGCCAGGCGCCCAGTACAAAAAGCTCTAAGGCCGGCCTGCGGGCCGAGACGGGCAGCGGGCAACGGGTGAGGAGGCAGAGGCAGGTGCACTCAGAGGGGCAAGTAGACAAGGTACTGGTAGGAGAGGGTCAGGGCTAGGCGGGCTCCAGGGGGGTCCTCGGGTACACCTCCAG